AGTAGGACCTTTGACTTATCTTCACATAGATGGAACTGGTAAAAGAAAGGAGCCAAGGGGCTCCTCCCAAGCCCATGTGACCCCTGAGGAACAGATGCTCAAACAACCTTAAGAGTAAAAATAAATCAGTTTATCTGGTCCAACTGTATGGTCTTAAACTCCCAAAAGGAAAGTATAACCAAAGATTAAATGGACCAACATAATTTCATAAGAGTCCATATGCATAGCTAAAGGCTACATAACAAGCAACAATGCCAGACAGGTGATACCTTCTTTTGAGTTGTTGGCCAGGGTACTGAATATTTTAAAGCTGTAGTGAAAAGCTTCTAATCATGCAGTTATTAATTTTTCAAGATAATGATTAAAAAATAATAATACTTCAAAGCATAAAAATTTGCTCCTATTAATGTTTTATGATTGAATTCTGGGACATTTCTTTCTATGTCCACTTTTTTTTTAATTTACAGGTTTGCCTGAATGTGTGTTAGTGCACCTGAGTCATACAATGCCCATGGAGGTCAGAAGAGGGCATTGGATTCCCCTGGAACTGGAGTCAAGGACAGTTCTTAGCCCCCACATGGGTGCCAGGATTTGAACCTGGGTCCTGTGCAAGAGCAGCCAGTGTTCTTAACCACTGAGCCACCTCTCCAGTTCTGTATATGTCTATTTTTTAATGTCATCATTCTGATTTAATATAATCCCCCATCAATTGATTAATTTATAAACTTGCACTTAATACATGACAAAAACATGCTCAATCATTTCTGAAAATGGGAAGTTGCTAAGTTTTTTTGCTTCTAGGACAAGCAGGTTAGGGTTTTCTTACTGTCTCACTGGAATGCTGAAGGAACTATGTGCTATATTTATCATTAGAGGAGGACCACTGAGCGTAAAGAGAGATGTGGTATGACCACCTCACATGGCCTGTGAAGGAGATTTCTGTGATCACTTCCCAAATCCCACATCTGTAGATATCACAGGCTCCTAAATTTTGTTGTCTGGGAACTTACACTTCAGAAATCAACAAATATTAAAACTTGGTATTTTAAAAAGCATTATTATTTCAGTGTGTGTTTCCCATTTCTCTGCCATGCTGTCCATCAAACATCAATGTGCAGATGACAATGTTGCTGAAATCCAGTGAAATTAGACAGAAGCACTTCATAAAGATAGACACATCCGAGGGAATCATTTTGAATTTATCAATTTCAGGTTGGAATCTGATGTTGCCCATTCTGTTAGTTCACAAGATATTGAGTTGAGATAAAGAAATAGAGAATCAGTAGTAAACACTCAGGAATGAAATAAGTTCTCAAACCTGGGATAGGTTATGTGAAAGTGGAGTAGACAAAGGGGGCTTCTCAGGTCCTGCAGAGTTTGAAAAGATGGTACGAGGCATCAACAGCATTTGAGGGACACTGCCCCAATGGATGGGTGCAGAGTTCTCTTCACAGACCCCTCTGACCTCCACCCCTCACCCAAACCATGTCACTCTCCTTGAGATTTCCAAGACAGCCCACACACTTGTGCTGCAGATGCTGCAGAATCATCTCTGCTTGTCGGTTCATTTCTGTCTCCACCACACTGAGAGATGCACTGCCTTCTCCTTTCCTCACCTGTCTACCTCCTGGCCTCCATTTCAGTCCTTCTCTGGCTGTGCCAGTTTTCAAACAGTAGAAACCCAAGGACCACCAGGACCAAGCCAGCCACAGCCATCCGAATGAGATTCTCCATTGTATGATCTTGTGGTTGTGAGTCTGAAAATTTGGACGAACAGGACAAAGAGATCAGTGAAGTCTCAAATTGAAAAGCAATTTTAAGACATAAAATCCTATATCTAAAAGAAAAGCAAATTAACATTGGGTTTGGTGGAGCATGCCTTTAAATGCCTTTAATCCCAGCCCTGGGGAGGTAGGAGGTAGATCTCTATGAGATCAAGGCCACCCTGGTCCACATCGTGACTTCCAGGTGGACAGTGACTAGGGAGACCCTGTCAAAACAACAACAAGCCAAAAAAGTAAAATAATAGACCCAACCCAACAGCTTTCTTATGTACATTTACTATTTAGTAAC